TTCCTTCTAAAAATCCTTTTAAAAAGTGCTTCAAAATCGTCTTTTTTTCGCTCCGCCATGGCGTCGAGATCCGGTTTTGGAGCTACAATTTCCGACGCCGTTGCGCGTAGTTCTATTGTGTTTTGCAACTCAGTCTCTGCAGATCGCATTGTAATGGCTGCGTCAAGGTTGCTTCGTGCTGTGGCTGCATTTGTAATACTGTAATACTATTGTCTTTTGCAGCTGGATCTCGTAAATCGTATTGGTGTGGCTGCATGAAGGCTGCGACAGTGATTTGTCAGCAGATTTTCTCCATTTTGTCGCATTAGTGTTTTTTGTTCCACGTAGGTTTAGAGCAGTGTGAAGTGTGGGGCGTAAAGAGTGCAGTGTGAGGTTTGGAGTGTGAAGGAAGCAGTGAGAAGTGAGAAGTGTGAAGTGCGGACTGTGAAGTGTGAAGTGTGGAGTGTGAAGTGTGAAGTGTGGAGTGTGAAGTTTGAAGTTTGGAGTGCGAAGAGTGCAGTGTGAAGTGTGGAGTGTGGAGTGTGAAGACTTTGCTTCATCTCTCGCTGAAAAAAAAACCGCTTGTCGAGGGAAGGACACGGTCGGGACAGGTTGTCTTTGAACTATAGGTCATTTATGTTTGGGAAACTTCCGCCGCCGGCTTGCCCAGGTCTATGTTATATGGACCATGCTACTTGTATGCCCTGACGCCTGTAACATGTTTGATCATTGATGGCTGCTTGACTGGGACTTTATCGCATCAAATGAGGCAAACGCCCCGAGCAGGTTGGATGGTCCTCTCAATAGACGCAAACACCGGCCTGGACATTCCGTCCAGGAGCTCACAAACATGACGGGCCGCAAGCTCATTCAGCTCCTTGGCTCCGATGGCATCCTTCCACAATGGAACAAGCAGCTATGCCGACGCTGTGGAGAGGGAACTTTGGGCTCCATGTATCACTGCAAAGTGCGAAAAGCATGGGTGCACAGATGTTCGTCTCGGTCCTGTGATGCACGGGTACAGCCACACTCCTTTCATCCTGTTTTCTTTCAAGGATCAGGATCTTCAGTGACTCCACTTGGGCTACAAGCTGCTATCCTTCATTGTGCTTTGGTCAACGTTCCTGTCTCCTTAGTGCCCGCGTTGCTGAATGTGGATGCCAAGCCAGTGGAGCGCATCTTCACAAATTTGGAAGTAGCGCGAACCCGGCACATGAAGCAAATCGAGGGAAAGACCGCCTTCGGCAAGCAGCAAAAGTGGGCGGACATCGAAGCCGATGAGGTGAACTTGGGCAAGGACGGTGATCAGCCGAGAGGGAAAGTCAAATGGGAACAGTGGGGTGGCCTTGTGGAGCAAGGCAGGCCTCAGACTTTGGCGCTGTATCGTTTGACTCCGAAGTTGACTTCCAAAAGAGCTCCCGGTCCTGGGCCCACTCGCCGCAAGGATTGGAAGAGTGTAGCCAAAAAGTACCTCACTGATCGCAACGTCATTCTCCACACTGATGGAGCTCGTGCATACAAATTCAAAATCCCAGGAGTTCTGCACCATCATGTTACCCACAAAAAGAAAAGTGTGATGTTTAAGGGCAAGGCTACCTGGGTGAAGCCTCGCAACACCAAGATCTACAAGCACAAGCTACCATGTGGGAAGAGCCTTGTCGTCAAGAGTGGCACTCAAGTCATTGACAGGTTCTAGGGCATCCTTCGACAAGGGTTGAAGCATGTGAGCCGCAAGCCAGGCAGCTGGTTGTTGGAACGGAAGATCCGCTCCATCCAGTGGGTCTACTGCCACAAAGGCTCGAATCTATGGCAAGCCACCGGAGCTGTGCTGCGATGCCTTCAGAAAGTCTGATGCTATCAGAACGCCTGCGGTGGAAAAAACAGGGTCGAGCAACGCTTTGTAACAAATGCATTTGCCTGGTCTTTCACTTAATGCCATACGGTGTCTCTACATCTATCAAGTTCAAAAAATACCAAAAGCAAACCTAGTCAAATTTGCAGCACGCACGCCTCTACTCTCAATGCCCCTATCTGTGCCAGAACACATCTGCTTCACGACCTTTCAAATCTGAAACAAGCAACGCTCTTCTTCCATAACAGTCTTGCGTTGACGCGTTAGCCCGCATGTATTGCGGGCAGGCGGTTTTTATAGGAAATATTGCGCGACACACGCTGTATCCTGCCTATCTGTATTAGATTGCTTGCCTACCCGGCAGCCAGAGTTTGCTCACTCCACCAAGCCTCCGCTCAAAAGTCGCAATGTCTGACGGGACTCGCACTCTGGAGTCGGACTTTGAGTAAGATTCGGAATTCTGGGAGCACTTTGGTGCAATTAAAAATCCTATATTCTTTGTGCCAGCTTTCTGCTTCGAATCTCAAATTGCATTGCACATACATCACGTTGCTCCTTGTCGTAAGGTCTCTGTGGGCATTTCCAGCTATGTAGCAGCTATTGAATAGCTTTTTAGCAGCTATTTAGCAGCTGTTCAACAGCTATTTAGCAGCTATTTAGCAACGATGCATGCAGCAGCTATTTAACAGCTATTTAGTACCTAACGAGCAGCTATTTAGTAACTCTTGAGCAGCTATTTACACGCTATTGAGTTGTTATTTACAACTCTTTAGCAGCTATTTAGCAGCTAGTCAGCCGCTATTTAGCAGCTGTTCAACAGCTACTTAGCAGCTACTTAGGAACTATTTGGCAGCTATTTGGTAGATTTAACCATTATTGTGTTTCTATTTGGCAGCTATTTAGCATGTATTCAGCAACTGTTTAGCAACTATTTACTTGAAATCTTTGCGCCGGAGCGAGGACGTTCTCGCAGTCCTTGTCGTGTCCAGCCTGGCACCCCCCCGGACCCCCACCCCCTACTCCTCCCGATATCTCACCCCATATCCAATTTTTGGTGCCCATGACACCGCCGGAGTTATTCGACCCATCACCAGGCACACAAAACAGCATTAGATGGCAATACTTTCAATTCACGTCAATATATTCCTGTTCCTATCTATTCTGTAAGACACTTGTCTTTCTGGTGTTTTTTTGCTGTGGCACATGCAGCACTCGCATATTCCCAGAGAAATTTAAAAGAAACCCAAACTGCGGCTCATGAGGGGGGCGGTATATATATATATATATAAGATAGATAAGATAGATAGACAGATAGATAGATAGACAGATAGATAGAAAGAAAGATAGATAGATAGAAAGATAGATAGATAGATAGATTAGATAGATAGATAGATAGATTAGATAGATTAGATAGATTAGATAGATTAGATAGATTAGATAGATTAGATAGATTAGATAGATTAGATAGATTAGATAGATTAGATAGATTAGATAGATTAGATAGATTAGATAGATAGATTAGATAGATAGATAGATAGACAGATAGATAGATCGATGGATAGATAGATAGATAGATAGGTAGATAGATAGATAGATAGGTAGATAGATAGATAGATTAGATAGATTAGTTAGATTAGATAGATTAGATAGATAGATAGACAGATTAGTTAATTAGATAGATTAGATAGATAGATAGATAGACAGATAGATAGATCGATGGATAGATAGATAGATAGGTAGATAGATAGATAAATTAGATAGATTAGTTAGATTAGTTAGATTAGATAGATAGATAGACAGATTAGTTAATTAGTTAGTTAGTTAGTTAGTTAGTTAGTCAGTTAGTCAGTCAGTTAGTCAGTTAGTCAGTTAGTCAGTTAGTCAGTCAGTCAGTCAGTCAGTCAGTCAGGCAGTCAGTCAGTCAGTCAGTCAGTCAGTTAGTTAGTTAGTTAAGTAAGTAAGTAAATTAGTTTGTTAGCTAGTTAGATAGATCGATAGATAGATCGATAGATAGACAGATAGATAGATAGATCGATAGATAGATAGATAGATAGATAGATATGTATATATATATATAGATATGTATGTTTATTTATATATATATTTACAGATATACATACACACACATATATATATAGAAATATATTTGTAGATATAGATATAAATATAGACATAGATATAGATATAAATATAGATAGATAGAGATATATCTATATGGATGTAGATTTATGTAGATGCGCTTTGTATATTATCAACATCCATAGGAAAGAACTCCTAATGTTTCCTGTTCAATTTGTCTCCGCTTGACAACAGACTGGAAGGGGGTTCCCTCACCATAGGTAGTTAGAGATCCAAAAATAATAGATTCCAGGTTTCTTTTGCTCTGAAGGGTTTTGCTAAAATCCTAAAATGTGGTTCAAGGGAATATCTCCACTAACCCCCTTCTGTTCTGTTTTGGGACTCGAAGGCATCGTCTCTTGTAGATTTTCCCGTGCATCCATTCATTGCTGCGCGCTGAAGGTGGATTGGTGGTTTCACCTCCTGAGAAGTGTGAGTCAATTGAGTCAATTGGGATGTCATTTGCAGGTAGGAGAAAAGATGAGATAGTAGAAACCAACAGTTGAAGGTACAGCATGAGAATCGAGTGACGATTGAGGATTGAGCATGTATCTTAGGCCAAATGTCGCAATCTTCTGCCCCAGGCCAAACCACGCCAAACACAATAGGTTTCAAGACCCCCAGGAGATCTTCAAAAAATGTTGCCAAAAGTTGTCAATTGTTAGTCTATTCCCTGCCAACCATCCTATATCTCACATTCGACGCTGGCAATGAATCCGCCAGTCAGAGTCTTGCACGTGTCCGTAGAAGCGCGGCACTATGATGTGTTTCGTTGAGCAACTATGGTGCACCTGCCACCAAACTCTGTGCATTTGCTGAAGAAAAGGAACCGGGCTACCAAGGATTTGTTCAAACCTCACAACCAACAAAAGATTGGTTGCTGGTTATCTTCTTCCAAAATTTATATTCCTGCTTGGCATTCTTGGTGAGTGATATGTGGTGGAGAGGCACTTTGTTTTTCAATCTACCGACGGATATTGATGTGCCTGTTGTTTCACTCATGTTTGCACGGATGACATGGCCTTTGTGCCTGTGAGTTTGTGGCTGCTCCAGTCATTGAAACCAAGTAGTTCCGAACAATTTTGTGTTCGCGACAGTTTTCCCAGCATCATGCCGAACTTCACCGTGGACCAGATGCGACAGATCATGGACAAGACGGATAACATCCGCTCCATGAGTGTCATTGCGCATGTGGATCACGGCAAGTCCACTTTGACCGACTCTTTGATTTGCAAGGCAGGAATTATCTCGGCAAAAACCGCAGGCGATGCGCGCTTCACAGACACACGAGCTGATGAACAAGAGCGAGGCGTCACCATTAAGAGTACAGGATCCTTGGTTTGGATTTGTTGTTTTCGTTGGCAATGTGCGGGAGACAGCCTGTTGGTTATTATGTTTCTGTGGAGATGTCATGTTAGTTTTGTTCGCAAACGTGGCGCCCAAACTTAATTTTTTGGGCATGATGTTTCTGAACAGACCTGATCAGGAGTGTCCCTGTACTTCGAACACGACGAGGAGGACGGCAAGGGAGCTATTCCTCACTTGATCAACTTGATTGACTCCCCAGGTCACGTGGACTTCTCCTCGGAAGTGACTGCAGCTCTTCGAATCACCGATGGCGCAATGGTGGTGGTTGATTGCATTGAGGGCTGCGCTGTCCAGACTGAGACGGTCTTGCGCCAAGCTCTTCAGGAGCGTGTGAGGCCCTGCCTGTTTGTGAACAAGGTGGACCGCTGCATTTTGGAGTTGCAGATGGAAGCAGAGGACATGTATTCTCGTTTCCGCAATGCCATTGAGAATGTGAACGTGATTATTGCCACCTACAATGATTCTTTGATGGGTGATGTGCAGGTGCAGCCTGAGAAGGGTACTGTCGCATTTGGCAGCGGTTTGCATGGATGGGGCTTCACCACTGAGCGATTTGCCAAGATCTATGCGCAGAAGATGGGTGTTGAGAAGGAAAAGATGATGCAGCGCATGTGGGGTGACTCCTTCTTCAATGCCAAGAAGAAGGTCTGGACCAATGTGCAGCAACCAGAGGGCTGCACTGAGCCTTTGCAGCGTGCCTTCTGCCAGTTTATCATGGGCCCAATCAATCAGCTTATGCGTGCCATCATGAATGATGACAAGGAGAAGTATGAGAAGATGATGGGCACCTTGGGCATTGTCTTGAAGGGTGATGAGAAAGCTCTCACTGGAAAGCCCTTGATGAAGCGAACCATGCAGATCTGGATCAATGCTGCAGACACCCTGTTGGCCATGATCGTGACCAAGCTGCCTTCCCCCCGAACAGCTCAGAAGTACCGAGTGGAGAACTTGTACGAGGGCCCTATGGATGATGCCGCAGCCCAGGGCATCCGTAGCTGTGATCCTGCAGGTCCTTTGATGATGTATGTTTCGAAGATGGTCCCCACTTCTGACAAGGGCAGATTCTACGCCTTCGGCCGAGTCTTCTCTGGCACCATTGCAACCGGACAGAAGGTTCGCATCCAGGGCCCATACTACAAACCAGGCAGCAAGGAGGACTTGCACGTGAAGAACATTCAGCGAACCGTCTTGATGATGGGTCGTACCACCGAGCAGATTCAGGATGTGCCTTGTGGCAACACTGTGGCCCTTGTTGGTGTCGACCAGTACATCCTGAAGTCAGGAACCATTACCACGCTCGAGGATGCCCACAACATCGCTGACATGAAGTACAGTGTGTCCCCTGTTGTGAAGGTTGCAGTGAAGGCCAAGGATGGCAAGGACCTGCCCAAACTGGTGGAGGGTTTGAAGAAGCTCTCCAAGTCCGATCCATTGGTGGTGTGCACTACTGAGGAAAGCGGAGAGCACGTGATTGCCGGATGCGGTGAGCTGCATGTTGAGATTTGCTTGAAGGACTTGAAGGATGAGTATGCCCAGTGCGACTTCATTGTCAGCGATCCAGTGGTCTCCTACCGCGAGACTGTGGCTGAGGAGTCCAACCAGACATGCTTGGCCAAGTCCCCCAACAAGCACAACCGCCCCTTGTCATTGAAATATCAGGGAGTGACGGTTTCCTTGCAGGTCTTAGGTCTTGCATTAGACCTTGAGGGATTATACAGTTTGCAGTGTGTTGTTTAGGTTTGTGAACTTCTGACTCGGAGCCCCAGGTGGCTCTTGACCTAGGCATCTACCTGAAGGCGGAACCAATGGATGAAGAGCTCAGCAAGGCCATCGAAGATGGCGCTGTTGGGCCCAAGGCGGACCCCAAGGAGAGAGCCAAGATTTTGTGCGACAAGTTTGACTGGGACAAGAGTGTGGCTCAGACCAAGATTTGGTGCTATGGTCCTGAGACTGACGGCGCCAACCTTGTGGTGGATGCTACTGTTGGTGTGCAGTACCTGATTGAGATCAAGGAGCACGTGAACAGTGCCTTCCAGTGGGCCACCAAGGAAGGACCTCTTTGCGAAGAGAACATGCGAGGCATCCGCTTCAACCTGATGGATGTGACCTTGCACACAGATGCCATCCACCGTGGTGCTGGGCAGATCATGCCTCCAACTCGTCGATGCTGCTTCGCTGCAGAGCTCACGGCCAAGCCTACTCTGCAGGAGCCTGTCTTCTTGGTGGAAATCACATGCCCCCAGGAGGCCATGAGCGGAGTCTACAACTGCATGAACTTGCGCCGTGGCTGTGTCTTTGAGGAGAATCAGAGAGAGGGCACACCTTTGGTTCAGGTGAAGGCACACTTGCCTGTGTCAGAGTCCTTCGGCTTCGTGGCAGCTCTGCGTCAGGCTACCAGTGGACAGGCCTTCCCACAGTGTGTCTTTGATCACTGGGAGAATCTGCCAGGAAATCCTATGGAGAAGGGCAGCAAGATGGAGGAGCTGATCTTGGGCATCCGAAAGCGCAAGAACCTGAAGGTGGAGATGCCAGCTCTCGGTGACTACTTGGACAAGCTCTGAGTTGCGATTCCTTAGCTGAGACGATTTGGTTTCAGAGGACAGCGCAGAATGGGCACATGTCAAGGGCTGGGCCCAGCTGAAAAAACTGTTGGGCGCTGCTCACCATCAGTCTCCATTTCAGGGATGAACATGTGCTGTGAAAGATTATGAATGGCGACATGTTCTGCAGCTTATTGTGCAGCTTGCCAGGCTCAAGCTATCGGGTGCAACGATGGCAGGGTGACATTTTCACTGAAATAATGATGATCAACATAAGAAACCGGGTATCAAAATGGATGAAATGGATGATGGCATGGTTCTATGTTCCAGTAAGGATGAGAATGATCAACTTGATCAACCCCATGATTCTTGGGGTATTTTCAGACAACTCCAGATGAAGTTGGTTCTGAGTTCTAAGTGATGAGTTCTAAGTGACTTGTCTTGCACCAGTTTGGGTTATTCAGTTATGATTGCCTCGCAAGAGAAAGAGTACACCAAAATCTCGAGTAATGCTTCTCTGCAAAGCCATGCCGATTCTTCGATGCGGCTGACGTTTTCACCATGTTGGAGATCAAATGTCAAGGTACCAGGTAACAATAGAGCGCTGTCTGTTGATCTCCACACCTGAAGAAATGATAGCAGTAAGATGGGGGATACAAATGGAAGAGATGTGAGATATGTGTAATATTTCAATTTATGACGCACCTCAAAGCTAAGGACTATGAAAGACCTTCAAGATGGAACCGAGAGAACCCACCCTATTAGGTGGTTTCCCTTGGCATATCTCCGCTTTTTGTTTTCTCAGGCGCTAACTTGACGCGTTTCTTCACCATTTGGGCCAGCCAATCTCCCTGGGCGGAGGCAATCCAGTGGCTGCCAGGGCTCCTTAGAAATCCAAAAATCCGAGTGAAAAATCCAAGGGTTTGGCAAAGTGTCTGAAGAAAGGCATGGATTGACTTGAATCTGAGTTTGCTGAACAAAGAACTAAGATTCGATTTTTCGTGAGTTTTTTCTAGTTTTTTTGATATTGTTGGGGTAATAAACAGTAATATGGCTATACGGGGTCAAAACTTTCAGTTCTTGCTCCCACCAAACCTCGTTTTTTTTTGCAGTGTTAACTTTCAACTCCAATGATGCTGGCTTTATTGTGAGGATAACAAAACTCCCTCGGGATCAAATCCCATTATTTGTTTTGAAGCTTAAGGCACGTAGGGGGAGGAGTAGACCCTCCATCTTGGATCTTCACCACGGGAATTTCAGCACAATGATAATCCTTTTTCGCAGTGACATTTTGAACAAAATGGTAGCTGCTTAGCTGCTAGGTAAAAATCTGAATTCTTCGCAATGGTGAATTTTTGCAGCTACCAGCCGGCGACCCTTGAGGTGTTGCAGGAGGGACACTGTGTGGGCCGGACGCGACCGCATCAAGGTGCTATGGACTACGGCGAGAGAGAAGGGGATATTTGTGGGATCTAAAACAGTTTTTTAATAGTGGGGTTTTAATGGGATCTTAATGGGATTAAATGGTTGGATATATAGTCATTACATTACGACTACAACATTTTCTTTTCATGATGATTAGACTATTCTTTGGCGTTCCAAACTAAAATCATTTTCATAACATGATATATGAGAAGATTGAGCTTATGTTCCATAATGTGGTAAACCTAAGAATAAACCATCCGCACTGCATTGGGGGATGGGATTGCTACTATGATTTTTCACAATGTTTGACATTAAATAAATGATGTAACCACAAGTCTCCGCATATTTCTTGTAAATATCCGCCCTCCTGTTGACCCTTTTTTAGGCAGCACTGCGATAGCATCTCCTTTTGGGCTAGGCCTTTTTATGGGGTAGCCCAAATTTGATGACTTACCCAGATTTATAGATGATAGAAATATATAAAAATGATGATTTACCTATCAAAAATGCCGATTTTCCACATGAAGATGCCAAAAATTGGGGTACATTTACTGCTCCCTTCCTGCATAGGTGGAGACAAGAATCCCAGATGGGACGATCCGCCATTCGCAACTTGGATTGGAGGGTTGGGAATTCAGGGAATCGCCGTATTACGCAACAGAAAAGCACATCTTAGATCATGTATGTAGAAATGACTATATATATATTATATACAGTTAATACAGTTATATACATATTAATATGTATGTACATGTATTATAATGTATTTCAAATTTGTGGATGTACTCGAAGTTCTTGAGCAAGTTTTGAAGTGTTTCTGCTCCCAAAGATCGCTTCACGCCGCCGCGTTCACGCCCTGCTACCATCCTGTTTCGAGGTGTTGGACCCATCCAGAGGGCAGCAGCTGGTTTTTCGAGTGCTCATTCCGTCCAGTTCAGCTGGGGTACTCGGAGCCAGGTTCATTTTGGTGGACTGAAAGATAATCGTTGAGTCTATTTGATTCTTTATTAGGATACAGATACAGTATATATATAATATATATATATACATCATATCATGAAATATGTTTAGGTGTCCTTAAGTCATGGGATAGCTCAGATATCCCTTCATTTCCAATGCATTGGTTTTCCCCCTTTTTCTTCAGCATTGTTTCACTGCAGGTAATGGGCCACAAGGATGTACTATGTGGAGAAGGCGCGGCAGATATCTTTCAGTGTTAGAAGACTGGGAACATGCATCAAGAAAACAGTTTATCATGGGATTGCTGGTGGCTACATGCACTACGAGTCAAAATTGAAGACTCATGTATTGAACCATCTATTTGTGGGAAATGTTGATCCAACAGCCGTATGATGTCGATGGGCCAACCATTGCAATCTCACCCACTCGTCGTGGAGTACGAAGCAATGAGGATGGGTGACTATGCAATCATCTGAGCCCAGGAATGCACAGTACCTACATGTAGCTACTCTATCTCTACTGACTCTACTGATTTACATACTATAACTTATTAACATTTATTAACCTATCTATTTGTCAAACATGGATACAAAAAAGGCACTTTTACAAGGCACCAAAAGGACATCTACAGAAACGTGCTGGCGAAACAAGGCACGCTGGCTGTGCCGGAGCTCATGCGGCAGTGGCATCCTCGGACGGCAGAAACGACAAGGGAAAACTTTTTCAGAGATCGGCTGTCCTGTCCAGTTTTTATGTGGCGTTTGGCTGCCAAGTGGGACTTACTGGTAGTGTTTTCTACTTCTGTCTGTTGATGTATCGTGTTATTTCATTGGAATTGTCCGCAAGCGATTCAAATTGTGCCGATTTGACCATGTCAAGGCAGCAGCAGTTTGTGCTGCCGCTGCACAAGGGAGGCGGCCGTGGTTGTACCGGCAGAAACGTCTACCAAAAGGAGAACCCCCACTGAAGTCCAAAGGGAGAAAATGACATATATTCTTGACGAGTGACGGACAGTCACACTAATCTGCCAAGTGCATCCTGCTCGAGCAGTGCTGTTTTCCCAGTTGCGGGGTCATTTGTTCGGCGGATTTGAGAGACTTTGGTGGTTAACATGTTTGGGCAGTCCTGACCCTACAACCAACTTTCGGAGCTTCTCCAATTTTGTTGGGATCACCATACCCTCCAAAGCGGCGAGGCGATCCAACTGGATTCCTCAGCTTTCAGTGGCGGATTCTTCGCGACACCCGGGAGGTGGGTGGCTTTCGTGGCATGGGACCTTTTCCAAGTTTTCTTTGTTGCTTAACCCCATCGTTAGCCCAGAGTGTTCATAAGCCATAGATTTTATATAGATTTTCTAGTTACTACTGTATAGATCTGTATAGATCTGTAGAGTCATATACCATAGTTGCCATATGTTGCCATAGTTGCCATAGTTCATACCCCATCCAACTCATCCAACTAGTTGGGTATGTCGACCCAATCGTTTCCCAAAGACCTCGGCGGAGGCGCCCTCCCGGCAGCGCGGGGACCCAGGGGACCCAGCCTGGCTCAAGGCTGTTCTCGGAGCCTCGGAGCCTTGGATGCTACCTTTCCAGTTGGCCCATCCAAAATGCTGACTTGAAACATCTTGAAACCATTGTTTAACCATTAAACAAGAATGATTTTCACAATGATCCAGAGAATTTGTGTTGACTTCGCTGAAAAAAATATTTTTGGAAGCCTTCTGAAATTCCAAGTTTCACATCCCCATGACTTGCTCAGCGTTTCTAGTCTTGCCGAGGCCCCAGCCGGAGCGGCTCAAACGGCCAGAGCGAGCCCATGGCCCCTTGGTTCACGGGGATGCGAGTTCTGTGGAAATTTAGCCATCCGCAAAATTGAGAAATGAGATCCTATGACAAAATCTTGGGTAGGTGCTTTTGGTAGAAACTTTTTTTTGGCGTTACTTTTTGATGCTAACTGTGGGGGTAGCCCAAGTTTTAAGACAAACTCTACTGAGATGAGGTCAAACAGGACAACCCTGTGGCGAAACAGGCGCTGTAGTGTCTGCTTGTGGTGAACCTGCCACCACCAGGTCCTCTCAGCGAGGATCGCCTAGCCTAGAGGATCATCCCAGGGCTCGTAAATGGTCGGCCTCACCAGTATGTCCCCTGGATTGTCCATATATCTTAACCGCAGGACGACTTTCAGAGTGATTCCGGGAGCAGTCTGAACATGTTTGGCAGACCCCATGTCTACTTTGCAGCTTGTAATCCCTTCAAGACTCAAATACCCAAAATGGTATGGCTTGGTACTTGATCCATTGAACATCCCTTGGAGGTACCTAATTGTAACATTTTCTCACCTGGTCCCAGGTCACCCAGGTCACAATGCCCCGGCTGCAGCGCATCCAGCTGGCTACCCGCATCAGATGGCGCCGCCGCATCCGGCAGCCGCGCCAGCGCCCGCGCCGCCAGCGCCCGCGCAGGCGCCGGTGCGGCCGCAGCTGCCGCAGCAAGTGATGCAAGCGGATCAGCACTCGAGGCGAAGCTCAAAAAATGGGGATCTTGATGGGAAAAAACAATGGTTTGGGGTAGCCATAATTTAAGAACCCCACCATATGTCGTGATAGTGATAATATCATATAATATCGATACTACTATACTTCTAGTTACTAATTATAATGACAGTAATGATCATTATTAAGGATCATGATTTAATTATCACAATGATAAATAGTGAGAATAATTGAAGGATAATGGAATGATAATGGAATGAACATGGAATGATAGCGGGAAAATAGATCAATGATCGAAGGGGAAAATGAGATAATGGGATATTTCATTTACATATAGCAAAGGATCCGTGTACTGGTTAGGATGCTGCTGGGTTACCAATATGGATCACGGTAATCAACTGAAAATGGATGGTTTAACCCACAAAATCAGCCATTCCGTGGCCTATTGGCGCCCATACCGGCCCATAGCCATAGCCATTTAGTGTTTCATCGCGGTAGAATGGGGTTGGAGACTCTTGTAGGTGGATATGATAATCAACATGTACAACCATCATGGCTATGTCACTTCAACCCCTCAGATGGTGCCCCTGCCACAATCCACTTTCGAATGTGGAAAAATGGGAAACACAATTTCATTGAAGAGTTCAGGTCTCAAACTCTCGAACAGGCTCAAATGATGATGTAGTTTCCAGTAGGTTTGGGATGGGTTGTAGGCTCAAATATGTACCCAGAGGATCATCCCACCTAGTACTGGTTATATTAGCCCGTTGATACAGGGGACAACCCGTGGGTAACTTCTGATCACCGGCCAACTTCCACCAACTTCTGCCACGCAGGTTGGGTCTCAGTGAGCGTGGGCGTCACGAAGCCAATCGTTTGATGAGTAGCCGGTGAAACCCAGTGGTTGGTTGTCGGTTTTTTGGGAGTTTTAGGGTTGGTGCTGGGGGTACGAGCTAAATATGAAGATCTTGTTTGAAGTTTCGATTCCACAAAAGATTTGGCTGTTGATTCAACTTCTCAGGATTGTTGCCATAGGACTGAAGGCAGGCGTTCAGCGGCACGGCAAAGGGAGTGACGATCAGCATGATCAGTGCCATCAACATCATCATGTCATCATGGCTATCTACCCTTTCTCGAATTACTTTAGTTGCCTTTAGAACTTTTTCTCTTCACTGTCATCAATCCCAAATTTGGAGGGTATTGGAGGGTATAACATATTGATTGATATTGCTAAGCTGTTAAACTTTATAAGTTATAGTCCTCAATATTATGGTGCTGGTCATCCTAATCCTTCTGCTCACGGTCACGGTTGCTCCAAGGCAAAGATTCGCTGAGATCGGCAGCCTTGAGGCAGCTCATTCGGTAGGTATTGAAGCTGATCCGCTCCAGTTTCATTTTTTGATGCTTTCCGTAACAATAATGATGCTATATTAATGTTTATTCTCATTGTATCTCATTCTTATTCTCATCATTGTGACAATGTCAGTGACAATTATTCTCACCATTGTCGGTCATTATTAATTATTAATAGTTTATTCACCAATAGTATATAGTTTAACACCACTTATTAATAGTTTATTCACCAATTATTAATTATTCTCACTATTTAGTTTATTCACCAATGTTCACAAATAGTATATAGTAATCTCACCTCACCAACGGTGTAGAATCAGCTGACTTCATGGCCATCGCCTCGCCACAGCCATCGCCGCGAGGCCCTTCAATCGGCCGGAAATGCTGGGGCGCTCCCAGTGGCGGCCTTGGAGTCGGCGAAAGGATGGGAAGTTGGGGGCTGCCTTGGGTGCCCGAAAAATCATCAAAGATGGCTGGAAAATGGTGGAAAATCCACTACGGTTCGGTATTTATAGATGATTTCCCCAGCTATAAATCTCATTCAAGCTCCATTTTTGATGGGGAATTTCCAGTTAGCCATGATTGATGAGGCTAATTCTCCCAAATCAAAGGCTTGGTTTCAGGAGTCGATTTTCCAGACTAAACGAAACCACTGACCCAACTGACCGAACTTTGGAGGAATCAATGTATCAAACCATGCTATGTTAAGATCCATGTGAGATCCTTCTCAGGAATTTGAAACCACCATTTGAAGCTGAAAACACCAAAGAAGAGTGAAGTGGCTTGTTAGTAAATTATGATGAACCTTATCCACATTATTGGTGGCAAAAAGACATTAAGACCCCTCAGGGATATGATGGGGTGATGATGGGCCATAGATGTCTTTTTTCCACTAGTTGGTCAACCCCCTCCACAATCAATAGGGAAGTGATGATAAATGGTATGCCAGACTGGCCTTAGTCCTATTCTTGTGTAGGTGTTTGTTTCCCATCCCCATGTAAGAATTTGTGTGAGCTGCTCAAGTACTTCAAGATGCTTTAGGTGTCCAATTCCCATCGGGTTGTCCTTGAGGCTGTCCTTTTGGGAGTTCAAAGATGCTTTCCTGAAACTTCAAGAGGACCCACCGCTGAATGGGCGTGGAAGCTTTGACACCTTGTAGAAGCTTGGGCTGTTTGCAGGTCCAGTACAAAGGATAAGTTGGCCCAACATGCCTGGAACAAAAACACCAACGGGACTTGAGCAGTTGAGTTCATGCAGCCCTGAGGAGCTAGAGGTGGTTGACAAGCCCAATGAAGAGGCAATGAGGCGTGCTCGTTGGGCGATACCTCCGACAATCCAACATCGCAATGGGACACGACTGTTTTAAAAATGTTGAATTCATCTTTAAATAAGTATATTACAGCCATCTAAACGTATATATATATAAATATATATATATACGATAGAAATGGGCTATACATTCCATTTGCGGGTTTCATCACTAGGGCCTAAGGGGCTGTACCATGACTTCGCAACGGCACCAGGAAGCTTTTTCAAAAGCACAGCAGCACTCAGCCTGACCCCAAGACAGGCGCGTTTTGGAACCCGTTGGCGATGCGAAATCATCAAACCAGGGGAATTCAGCTGTGGATGTTAGCTGTGCCAGGCACGATTGGATCGGGCCTCAGTTTTCTGGATTGCGAATCCTTTGCTAAGATTTTTCTGGAACAAATATCAGGGTGGATGGTCGGGTGAATCAATTACATTCCTGGTAAAATCACATTTATATGATATATACATATACATATACAGTATACATACGTATGTATGGTGTACAGTTGGTGGATCGGCAGCTCACATAAGCTTGTCAGCTGTCGGTTCGGCTGTCGAACAGTTTTGCGTGAAGTCAGAATGTATGCATATGGCTATGGGTCAAAATGGGGTACCCCAATCATTGGATGGTAAATACTTAATACTAAAAATGGTCCAAAATATGTGTTTTTTTTCTTAACCAGGTCTGTAAAAAAATTGACCCATACCCACATATATATACATATACACACAGTACATATACTGTATATATATATATAGATAGACACAGTACATATACTGTGTGTATATATATATACTGTGTATATATATATATACTGTGTATATATATATATATCATATATATATATATGCGAAGGGGAACGAGATAACACAGTAGTCACACATGCTGAGCATGTGCACATTCTTGCATGGGACGCCACTATGGCTCAAGACCCACTGCGAGGCCAAAATAACGCGCTCCGCTGCTGCATGGTTTGACAGCTCTGACTATCAGCACATAGGGAACTACAACCGAAGGATATCCAGAACAAGGATCAATTTGTTCACAGGTTATCAGCCGTAGGGCTCACTTCTCCCGCCGGGAGAGTGGTACCTGCGTGCTGGTAGCCGGGCCGTCTGAGCAATTGATTGAGGACGCAAAGGACCAATCAGCTCATCATCGCAAAGATGCAAGGCGGCAGCGGAGATTCGCGCACCACGCAGTTTACCTTCAATGAGAACGCTGCTATGCCGGTCGAGGAGGTCAATCAATCTTCCCCTGGCGACACGGCAGACAGTGGCGGGATACGCTCTACCCGAACTACACAGTCCGGATGGCAAGTCACATCAAACAGACGAAGAATATCCACCCAAAGTACACCTAGATCTTCTCGAAACAGTGCTCGGAGTGATGTTGTCCGCCAAGGGCATCGACCATCTCGAGGACGTACTACTCCAAGGGACAGATCCACCAGGGCCGTGACCGACCGAATTGGTGAGAGGACCGGGGATAGTCGTGTTAAGAGGAGATCAACGGATACTTCTGTGGCTAGTGAACCTATTGCCATGATAGAGGAACTACGGGCACAATGTCAATCCCTACGTAATCAGCTGAACAACATGGAAGCATACGCTGCATCCAGGGATCAACTGATTCATGACATCGAGATCAGATTCACTGAGTATCTTCGGGAACACAATCAGAATGTATTTGATGAGGTCAATGCACTCAATCATAGATTGTCATGTTCCGCAAATGAGGTTGCAGAATATCAAGCAGAACTAATGGTAGCATCTCAGGAAGACGAAGGTGCAACAATACGCATCCAAGACCTTGAACGCCGAGGTGCCCTAATGGAACATGGTGCACGACGGATCCATCAACGTGGTATGGAGATCCAGGAGGAGTACAAGGATGAAGTACATCACCTTCAAGGACTACTGGGTAATACGGAGGCAAGACTACAACAACTTCATCAAACCAATGTCTTAACCACCGATATTGCCAATCGACTATACAATGAGGGTCAAGAAATGCAAAATGATTTCCAGAACTCAATCATGGAATATCGTAATCGATCTGAAATGGCATCCTTCTCTAGTAATCAACTTGAAGTGATTAGCCAACAACAATCAATTGCAGTTCATGAATTATCTGAGCGAAATCAGCTATTGAGTGAAGCTTTGGTTCAGTCTCGTAAACAGGCCGAGCTGTATGAGAGCAGTATTGATGAGATCACTAGAGAATCTAGGAAGAAGGTGTTCGAGGCAAATCAGGCCAAATTGGAAAGTGATCTGAAGCATCGAAACACTGAACATGATACCGTCAGAAGAATTGCATCATACAGGAACCAAGAGGCCGAAGCAATATCTCACCTGAGGCTTGAATCACAGGCTAGTGCAAACTCGATCGCAAGGGCAGAGCACTATGAGGAGCTCTATGCCAACGAGCAGAAGATGAACTGCGAATTGAAGGATGAGATCAAGTTGCAGAACACGAAGTTACGAAGATCGTTGACTCAGGGTTCTACGACCGACGGTCGTGGCCCCGAAGAGATGCTTGTTGAAGATCTACGTAATCAAGCTAAGATCGCTCAAATCAGGGTTCAGGATCTAGATCATGAAGTTCATGAATGTTTACAAGAGAACTTGTTGTTAAAAGAAAGGTTGGCTGAAGTTGCGGATGTAGGGGCGTCGTCCCTCACCAATGCTGAGGTCCGAACTCTAAGATCTGAACTAGAGAGTGAGCGAAAATTGAAATTGGCGAGTGGTGTTCAACAATATGAGAGATCATGCATGTTCATGGGGGAAATCCAGGATAGGGATGAAAAGATTGGCATCAAGAATTCTGAGATTGTTGACATGAAACGTCACTTAGATGAACTGAGAAAAAGTCTCAAGGATTCTGAAACATCTATGGCTAGGATCAGTCCTGACACACTTCCCTATTCGGCAGGCATTCCCAACTCCGATCTCGCATCCAGACTGGTCATCGACAAACTGGAGAATGACGTGAGTGAGGCTAACTGTGAAAACGCTATTCTGAAATCTTGGGTTTCGCAGATCGACAAGGAGTTGACTTATGAGACAAATGTGGCTCATTCCTATCGTGGGCATGCTGTACCTCCTCAACAACAACAGCATTCTCAATCAAGCAAAAGAATCGCTGATCTGCTGAAAGAGGTTGACAACAAGATCGCTGGCGGAACTGAGAGGGACTATTACAAGCCACCGAGTGGATGGGGCGGTCCGCCTGACCCTGATGGACCTCCGGACCCTTTTGGGCCTAACGGTCCAGGACCACCTCCTGAACCTCCTGGTTTGCCTTCAGTTCGAGGATCACAACGCGATTCAGCAGATGATGTCTCCACAGCGGCTTACACTGCGGAAGAAGTACCGAGAATGTCAAGACGAGAGGCTGACAAAGTCTATGTTAGCCCATGGCCAAAGCAACAGAATCTTGGGGTTTGGCAATCAGATCTCATCAAGAGTGTTGTTCTTTCGGCAAATGACGGGGATAAAGCCGCATGGGAAGCATGGCTACAGCCGGCTATTCGACCAAATCCTGACATCGAGCTGTTGAATGACAGTGGGGGGCAACGGTATCAGTCCATCGACGCCAAGTTGTCAATTGCATTGTCAAACGTGATAGCCCAAGCCGGTGATGTTGCTCGTCATGTAGCGATCAAATTGAGATTGAGAACACAAAGTCATAGCCGAAGAGGAACCTACGTCATGGGACGGGAAATCTTGGCTATGATTCTGGAGCACTTCAGAACCCCAGGTCAACGAGAAACATCCTTCACCATGGAACACATCGTATCGATGAAGTATCTCGGTGACTCGAACCTAGAAGTGTTCTACGAGAAATGGATGGAGATGGTATCAAACATGATGCCGGATGACGTACCTCCTGATGATTGGCTTCGTGACGCTCTATACAAGAAGATTCGAAATTCGAGTCTTATGATGTTCGACATCAAGCAGTACGAGTCATGGATGGAAGGAGACCAAAGACGAAATTATCGCTACCTGTTGGATGTCATCGAAAGGCACATCTCCAGAATCAGAGAGGACAAGCATGTGGCAGCCAGAGAGAAGTATGCGAGAGACTTTGCAGGCGGCGGCAAACCTTCAGCTCCTGCTCCGAACCCAACTGCCGCTGCACCGGATGCAAATCCAAAAGCGAAGCCTAAAGCTACTCCCAAGGAGAAGGCAGCGCCCAAGGCGAAGGCCAAGGCCGATGCAGCTCCAGTTCTACCATCACCTCAGCCTAAACAGCATGCGAAAGGAAAAGGAAAAGGTCAAGGGAAAGGGAAGGATCGAGCAAACAGCCGAAGTACCAGCCCCAGATCCAAGAAGAAGATCCCATGCCATTTCCATTTCATCAAGAAGTCATGCAGAAAAGGCAAAGATTGTGAATACAGTCATGATCAAAAGGTGTTCGAGGCGAATAAGAACGCAAAAGGGAATGGTCGGAAGCCAGGAACTCCAAGAAGTCAATCTCCGGCAAACAAGACCAAGAAGATTGATGAACCATGCTGGCATTGGGCCAAGGGCAAGTGTCGGTATGGAGACAAATGCAACAAACGCCACGATCCTCATCTATTTAACACTGCTCCCAACACCGAAGCACCAAGCTCAAAGGCTACTCCTGCACTTGTCCATGATTGGAGCGATGATGAAGAGACGTTCCATAAGATTGCATCGAACGTGGTCAAGAAGAGGGTCAGATTTGATGAGTCTAAGACTCACGTTCAAACTTACGTAAAGAAGGACTTCGTGAAGTGCAATCGGAAATCTCAGACTGTCTCCAAAGGGCATGGCAAAGTTGGAAAGCCCACTGATCAGATAAGGAAAGATGAGCAA